GAGGAGGAGGAGGAGGAGGAGGAGGCGGAGGGGAAAGGAGGGACGAGAGAAATGGAGGATGATGAGGAGGAGGAGGAGAAGAAGGAAGAGGGGGAGGAGGGGGATGATGATGATGATCATGATGATGATGATGATGATGATGATGATGATGATGATGATGATGATGATGATGATGATGATGATGATGCTGATGATGATGATGATGATGACGACGCGGTTGATGATGATGATGATGATGATGATGATGATGATGATGATGATGATGATGAGGATGCTGATGATGCTGATGATGAGGATGCTGATGATGCTGCTGATGATGATGATGATGACCTTCCCTGGGCCCCGGCGCTCGGGGCTCCTCCAGACCTTTCCTCCAGGGGGGGCAGGATTCGTCCCCGGTCCCCGGGGTCCCCAAGCCCCCCTCCCAAAACAACAGCAGCAACAATAGCAATATCAACACCAACAACAACACCAACAGCAACAACAGCAACAACACCACCACCAACAACAACAACGCCGGGAATGAATACAGAGCCTGAGGAGTCGCTCATGACTCCTGTGCTGAATCGGAGTGGTGACTTACGTGTGCGCGCTAGCGAAGCGAGGAGTTAGTTACGCCCTTTACGACTCCTATAGAAACCCTATCGGGATCCGGTAGACACCCTATAGGGATCCCACAACATTCCTATAGGGATCCTACAGCAACCATGTACGGATCCTTTCAGAAATCTTACCCGGTCCTACAGACACCTGATAAGGATTCGACAGACACCCTATGGGGATCCTACGCAAACCTAATTGGGATCCTACAGAAACCCCATAGGGATCCTGCAGAAACCCTATAAGGATCATTCAGAAACCTACAGGGATCCTCCAGAAAACCTTTTTACTGATCCTACAGAAACCCTAGAAGGATCCTACAGGATCCTTATAAGGATCCTAGCAGCTGCACTAGGATCCCTACAGGGACCCTACCAGCTGTCGGAGGATGTGGGGTAAGTCCGACGTGAAACGGAGACCCCCCCTACCGAGAAATCGATTTCGGTTTCGGGTTCGTGTCGTGCGTGCCGTGCGTGCGTGCGTGCGGGCGAGGCGAAGCTGCGTGGGCGGGCGAGAGGAAATCCTCCTGTGGCTAGGCCGCGGCCGGACCAAATGATTCTCCTCTGGCGGCCGGTGGCCCGCGGTGTCCCGCTGGTGTCCCGCTGGTGTCCCGAAATCCTCCTGTGGTTGGGCCGCGGGCGGACCAAATGATTCTCCTCCTGCGGCCGGTGTCCCCGCTAGTGTGCATTTGGTGTCCAGCTGGTGTCCCGAAATCCTCCTGTTGCCGGGCCGCGGCCGGACCAAAAGTCTCTCCACCCGGCAAACGGTGCCCCGCGGTGTCCCGCTAGTGTGCCGCTGGTGTCCCGCCGTGGCTGCGGCGAGCTATCCAATGCAAGTCTATATGCAAACCGACATGCAAACCGAAAAACACATCGAAATGCATATCGACATGCACATCCAAATGCAAATCGTAAGGCGCCGAGGGTTGCGTATTTAAATAATCGGCGCCCGCGGGGAGCTTTCCAATGCAAGTCGACATGCAAATCGAGATGCAGATCGGAAAGCAAATCGACATGCACATCGATAAGTCGACATGCGAATCGAGATGCGGATCGAAAAGCAAATCGACGTGCACATCGATATGCAAATCCAGATGCAAATCGAAAGGCACATGGTCATGCCGTGCTTCACGACAATGTCGCAGTGCACGCGGGGGCAGCGCTTCACGACAATTTCGAGTGTGCTGCGTCAACATCGCCACATCACATCACGCTCACGAACACAATCACACTACTCACTAAACTGTGCACCACAGGCATCGTCAGAACAACAGTCACCACTGTTGCCCATTGCTGGCCCCCCCCCAAACCTCCTTATCACCCGCAGGGTGGTCGTATAGGTAATAGGATCCGTGTAGGGATCCTACCAGCTGCAGTTATATCCTTATAGGGATCCTACCAGCTGCAGTAGGATCCCTACAGGGATCCCACCAACTGTCATAGGATCCAGTCAGGGTTCCTGCCAGCTGTCATCGGATCCCTAGACGGATCCTGCCATCTGTAAGAGGAATCCTATGAGTATCCTAACAACCGCAATAGACTCCCTACGGGGATCCTACCAGCTGCACTGGGATCCTCATAAGGGTCTTAGCAGCTGCAATCGGATCCATACAGGGTCCTACAGGCTGTAATCGGATCCCTATAAGGATCCTACCGGCTGTAATATGATCCCCATGAGGATCTTACGAGCTGCAATCGGATCCCTATAGGGACCATAGCAGCTGCAACAGGATCCCCATATGGATCCTACCAGCTGCAAGCTGTTACGTACATGGATCCTTCCAGCTGTAACAGGACCCGTGCAGGGATCCTACCAGCTGTAATCGAATCCCCATAGGGATCCTGCCAGCTGCAATAGGATCCCTATAAGGATCCTGCCAGCTATAAGAAGATCCTCATGAGTATCCTACCAGCTGAGATAGAATCCCTATAGGGACCCTTGCAGCTGTACTCGGATTCCTATATGCAATATGATCCCTACAGGGTGCTACCAGCTGCAATCGGACCCGTATTGGGATCCTACCAGCTGCAATCGGATCCCCATAGGCATCTTACCAGCTGCCATTGCATCCCCATAGGGATCCACCAGCTGCATCAGGATCCTTCCAGCGATCCTACCAGCTTCAATCGTATCCTCATTCGGATCGTACCGGCTGTAATAAGATCCTTACAAGGATCCAACCAGCTGTATCAGGATCTTTATACAGACCCTACCAGCTGCAATATGATTCCCATAGGGCTCCTTGCAGCTGCAATAGGATCCTTATGCGGATCCTTCCAGCTGTCATAAGATCCCGATAAAGGGGTCCTACCATCTGTAATACGATCCCTATAGGGATCCGACTAGCTGCAAAATGATCCCCATAGGGACCCTACCAGCTGTAATAGGATCTTTACAGGTATCCTACCAGCTGTAATAGGATCCCCATAGGGATCCTACCAGCTGTAGGAGGATCTATGTAGGGATCCGACCAGCTGTATCAGGATGCCTATATGGATCGTGCCAGCTGTAATGGGACCACTATAGGGATCGTGTTGGCTGCGATCGGATCCATACAAGGACCCTTCCAGCTGCGATAAGACCCCTTTCGGGAGAAGCCTTCGCAGACTGCATGCTTTGAGGTCTTGAAAGGGGGGTCGTATGAGGTCTCAGTGGAGGCCAGCAGGAAGCCTGGAACGAGCCTGGCGGGAAGCCTGGGAGGACGCCCAAAGACGTGGAATCCTCCTCATCTCCACTTCCTTCCCCTCCTCCTCCTCCTCCTCCTCCTCCTCCTCCTCCTCCTCCTCCTCCTCCACGCCCTCCTCTTCCTGCTCCTCCTCCTCCTACTCCTCATCATCATCCTCATCATCCTCATCCTCCTCATCCTTATCCTTTCCCCAGGCGACGGGGTGACCGCGTCGCAATACAGCTTCACGGCTGCGCGCCAAGCTGCGGCCAGCTGGGCCCGAAGCCTTCGGTGGAGCCTCCTGCGGGGCCACGAAACGTGCGAGGGATGTTCCGAATTGGCTCGAAACCTTCGGACGAGCCTGCTGCGGGGCCACGAAGCGTGTGAGGGGTGCTCCGAGGTGGGCCCGAAGCCTTAGGGGGAGCCTCACGCGGGGCCACGAAACGTGTGAGGGGTGCTCCGAAATTCGCCCGAAGCCTTCCAGCTCTGGAGCGATCCCTATGAGGATCCTTGCAGCTCTGGTACGATCCCTATTAGAACCGATGCGGTTCTGGTACGATGCCTGTAGCGATCCCGCCACAGCTGTGGCAGGATCCCTTGTGGGGGTCCATACGGCTGAAGTTGGATCCCTACAGGGCGTCCCTTTGGGTGTCTGGGAGCCCTTTGGGTGTCTGGGAGCGTGGGAGTGCATGTGTGTGTGTGTGTGTGTGTGTGTGTGTGTGTGTGTGTGTGTGTGTGGGGGATGCGCCGAGGCCCCAGTGTAGGAATCCATCATCCCTCAGTGGATTGCGAGGATTTTTCGAGCGGTCTTGCGCCCGCTCCTACTCAACAACAACAGCAGCAGCAGCAACAACAACAACGCAATAAGCAGAATTCCCATCACGAATTCCTTATTCAGCTACGCACCCAGGGACGATGAATGACCTTTCGCCCCCCCCGCTTTCAATGAAATTGAACATCGTCAGAACCATTCGAACATATTTCAATTTCGCCCATAATCCGCCTGTAGGAGGACATGCCCGACCCAACTCTTGCCCATGGACACTCTTTCGCGCAACTGGGTCGGATTGCGCCGGTGGAATCCAGCCATGCCGAGCTCGGCCGGGTCGAAGTCGGGTGGGCCGCGTTCGACCTGGCCGGGGCACGCGCTTGATGAGAATCGAAGATTGGCGGCGCGCCGAGGGGGGAAGTGAGATGGGGCAGCCCTTCTCAGAAGGCGGCGGGGCTTCTCACAAGCCCTCTGGCCTTCTGATAAGTCGCTTGTATCTTCAGAGAAGACTTCACAAGCTTTTCAGAAGGCCAGCGGCCTTCTGAGCCTTCTGAGAAGACTCCTCCCCTCTGCCGTCCTCCCTGGGTGTGCCGCAGGGAAAAGGAAACCTCGGCATGAACTGAAACTTGCGGAGGTCCGCGCGGATTTCTCGGATCCGCGCTGGACCCCGCTGGCGACGCCTCCGGTTCCGCCCCTGGCGCGCTCCGCGCGCCAGGGAGGGGGGTTCAGCGCCGATCCAGCAGATCCGCGCAGAGTTCAGAAAGTCTATGCTCATGCCGATGTTGTCTCTCATGCCGATTCTTTCAGCCAGTTTATGGAGGATGCGTGCGTCCAAGGAGAGGGCGTTGTGATCGTCCAGGTTTGGCTCAAGGGCCTTCCCCGGCGTGGGAGCGAAGGCCGGGTCGGGGAGAGTTCCCAAGTGATGGTGGTATTCGGAGGCGTCTGCGACCACTTGCGAACCCTGCCCCTACGGGTCCAATCGACGCTTCGAGTAGGGGAATCGTCAACATAATTGATTAACCCCATTCTTGTTTTCGTCGAATCTGCAACAAGTGCTTAGTTTTGTTTGCAGATCTGCGAGCATTCTACGTATTGTTTCGCTGATTCGGCGATAAGTTAATTTCTGGATTAATCAATTCTGTAGTCGATCTCCTACTCGACTGTGGTACTCAGTGGCGTCTGCGACCACTTGCGAACCCTGCCCTACGGGTCCAATCGATGCTGGGGGGGTCAGACACGGGCAGATTTTTTTTTCAGAAATCTGACCTGCAGGGGTAGGGCGGTTGCCTAGTGTGCACGCGCGATCGCAACAACACAAGTTCTGACGATCGGGGGCGAACGCAGCAGCAGCAACAGCATCAGCAACACTGATGCGCATCCTGAGCGTCCATCCAGCGATGCGGGTTTGAAGTGAACACAACCGTGACGGGTGTATCTGCGCATCGAGAGACTTCGGGCTCGCGGCGTGTTGTAGTCTTAGTTCGAGCGTTTCGCACTTGGAGCGACCGTCATGTTTATATGAGTTTGTGTGTCAGAGTTCTTTCCGTTTGTGTTGTCGACATTATCCCACATGTGTGCTTAATTCTTCCTCGCTTATGTCATACATGTTGGTCGCTCTCTTTTTCTGACCGTCGTTGCTTTTTGATGTTGCTTCTGACGTCGATCCTAGACTGTAGTCGGAAGACATGGCATCTACCTGCGAGGCTGAACCGGCGCAGCCTCCAGCCATGGCAACGCCCATCAACATCCTCAACGAGGAGATGCGACTCATTTCTTCAGCGCAGCTGATGGTTGAACGGTGGCTCGCCCCATGCACATTCCCCCGTACCGGACCAAAGGGAAATTCGGCACATGGAATTATCAAGAACACCACTGCATTACCATGAACTGTCGCAGCTTCGCGCGGACTCGTGGGGATCTGCGCTGGACCCCCGCCCTGGCGCGCGGAGTGCGCCAGGGGTGGCGCTGGAGCCGCCGCCGGGGAAGCCCAGCGCAGATCCAAGAAGTCCGCACGGAGCTCAGCTGGTTTGTGTTTGTGCCGTTTTTCGTCCCTTCGTGCTGCGGAGGTTGCCCAAGGAGGTTGAGGAGGAGATGGAGGAGGAGGAGGAGGAGGAGGAGCAGGAGGAGGAGGAGGAGGAGGCGGAGGAGGAGGAGGAGGAGGCGGAGGAGGAGGAGGACAAGGAGGATGAGGAGGAGGGGGAGGACGGGGAGGAGGGGGAGGAGGAGGAGCAGGAGGAGGAGGAGGAGGCGGAGGCGGAGGCGGAGGAGGAGGAGGCGGCGGAGGAGGAGGGGGAGGACAAGGAGGATGAGGAGGAGGGGGAGGACGGGGAGGAGGGGGAGGAGGAGGAGGAGGAGGAGGAGGAGGAGGAGGAGGAGGAGGAGTCAGGATTTCTCAATGAGTTGCCGCACCGCACCCCTCATATCCTGCAACACTCCCCGCCCCGTGCTCCTCTTCCGGTCTCTCCGCTCCTCCCGCTCCTGGTTCTTTCTGCTGCTCTGCATGGCTGCTCCCTGTCGTCCTCGCCCTCGTCCTCCTCCTCCTCCTGCTCCTCCTCCTTGTCGAACTCGTTCTCGCCGTACTTCCGCACCTTTCGCATCCGCGCCCTCGTCCTGTCCTCGTCCGCGTCCACGTCCTTGTCAGGGGCTTCTCGAGCAGGGCGTGTTAAGTCTGTCAAGCGAGCGCAGAGGGAGGTCGCTGGCTTCCATGACTCTTTGAAGGAAAGAGCGGGCAGGGTGCCAATTGCATTACCGTTTGCTGTCCAGTCTTCGTCAGGATGTGTCGAGCGAGCTTGTCAGAGTGGGGTCGTCGGCCGTGGCCCCGCGGCCCGTTAACAAGCAGTGGGAGGAAGAGGACTTGCTGGAGGATGGGAGGGTTGGGGATGGGGGTTGAGGGTGAAGCTGGGTTGGAGGATGAGAGGGCTGGAGGCTGGGGTGGAGGATGAGAGGGATGACGGCGGGGGAGGAACAGAGGGAGGGAGGCAGGGAGAGGGAGGGAGCGGGACGGACGTGGAGGGAGGCGGTAGGGAGAGGGAGGGAGAGAGAGAGAGAGAGAGAGAGAGACAAACGGAGTCTTCGGGAGAGCGACAGAGAACGGGAATCCGAGAGAAAGAGAGAGAGAGAGAGAGAGAGAAATACAGATGTGTCTCATCTGATCTGACTAGGACGTCACTCCGCTGGACCTCCCAGGGGCCTGCGAAAGTGGCGACAGTTGCGCAGTTCGCAGCCCCCAACGACGGCGAGGTCTCACCTGATCTGACCAGGACGTCACTCTTCTGGATCTCCAATGAGCCCACGAAAGTGGTGAAATTTTCGCAGATGGTATCCAGGAGCTCACAAAAACGGCGACGGTTTCGCACTTCGCACCCCCTCGCGACAGCAAGGTCTGACCTGCTCTGAACAGGATGTCGCCCTGCTGGATCTCCCAGGAACCCACGAAAGCAGCGACGGTTTCGCAGCTCGCAGCCCCCACCGACGGCGAGGTCCCACCTGATCTGAATACAACGTCACTCCGCTGGACTTCCCAGGAGCCCACGACAGTGGCGACAGTTGCGCAGTTCGCAGCCCCCAGCGATGGCGAGGTCTCAACTGATCTGACCGGGACGTCACTCTGCTGGACCTCCCAAGAGATCACGAAAGTTGTCCGTAGTCATTTCGGCTCCAGCCATTTGGCACAAGCTTCATCAGTCAGCGAACAGTTTGACCTGTCTCGTCACCCCGCCCACGCTCCACCCCCGCAGTATCCCCCGCGCACTTTGCTCTCCGATGGCGGTGCCAGCGCTCGACGAATCTTGGCGCTCCGACCCGATATTGGCGGGTGGCGTGGCGCCACCATACGGAGCTGATGTTCCGCGCTACGTGCCACCGACGTTCGGCGTCAACATTCACGAGCCACTGTACTCTCGCAAGCTTGGCGTCGTGAGGGCCCGCGCGCCACATCCCTGGGGCCTGGGAGGTCTGCGGCGCGAGGTGGGGGCGTCCGTGGAGCCAGTCGCTTCGCGCGGCCCCGTCGGCGCCGAGCTGGGCGGCCCGGAGCGCGCGATGGAGGAGCTCGAGGAGCCGGCTGCCTCGCGCGGCCCGGACAGTGCTCGTGCAGCCTCGCCCGGGACAGGCCTGGACGGGTCCGAGGCCTTGAGAGGTGCGATCGGGGCAGCGGTGCTGGCACTGCGCCGGAAGCTGATCGGCAGGTCCCCTGCTCAGAGGTTCTCGGAGAGCGTCGTGCAGGCCACGCCAGTTGCGCCGGCCTCGCCACCGCGGGCCGCGTTCGGATTCAGGGCTCGGTCATATGTCGAGAGACGTGCGCAGCAGTGAGACCGCGGCGCAGAAGCCACCGGCACCTGTGGACAGGGAGGGGGCCGTTTTGCCAGCGGGTGCCTGAGGGAAGGGGAGGAGGAAGGAGAAGGGGGGAGGAGCACGAGGTCGGTCGTGGCGCGAGGAGTGCAAGTCGGGCGCAATCGGACACTCGCCCTGTGCTGGGCTCAGCCCTGCGCCTCGAAGCAGCATCATCATCATCATCATCATCATCACATTTCGAGGGGCAGCGAATTGCCGGTACTGTGCTTGCCTTGTGGGGAGGCGCAAAGATGAAGTGATGCAGCAGAGGTACAGGTATGAGCTCTGCCGATGTGGTTGGTCAGCACAGGCTCGCTGCGTCTTATGAACTGCTGCAAGCAAACCGCCAGCTAGGGTGTCACCTCCCACAGGCGGCTTTCTCCGCGGCAGCGCTGGGCCCAATGCCGCAACACGGAGACGAGTTGAGTTCATAAGTGGTGCACATGCAAGTGCTAGCACAGCTTGAGTACAACTACTTCTAGAGTGTTGCTGCATTGCATGTGCAATCTGGGCCCTCCCGCTTTTCCTCATCTGGTTGGGCTGGTCGGGGTGGAACCCCGCAGGCGAGCACCCCCGAGGCTGAGAGCTCATGACTCTTCCAATACTTGAGACGGGGCTAATCCCCGTGCTCGATTCCCTTGCTAAGATTTCTTTTGTCCTTCCTCGGAAGCCTGACCCTCTGGGTCCTCCGGCGCGCCCCAGAAGTTCGATGCCTCTGGATGGTCCCCCATGACTCCTACGTTTGAGTCGGCCAGGTGGTATTGCACCTGCATTCACGACAGTTTTTGGATGCGACTGTCCGATTGTGGAGCAGCAGACCGTTGGGTCCGTGGGCTCGGCAGTTTGGTTGCGTGGGAGACACTTGTCCCTGCGGCTGGCCAAGTGCAGGGATCGACTGGCATGTTTGGTCGAGGGCGGATGGCGGGCAGATGTGCAATTGCAGGGGCTGGTCTCAGTCTTGAGACTCAAGCGCGCCGCGGGCGTCGTTGGACCTTTCTCCTGGGCTTGCGAGATCGGGGCTTTGCGACCACGAGTTTCACGCCTGGGCTGTCTGGCCAGATTGCTGGACAGCGACTGTGACCGCCGAGGGTGATGGTGTGCCTCCTGCGTAGCCCTGCCTGTGCGTCGAATCGGCTGCCACGGCGCCTCGGAGCTAATCCTTGTAACCACAGGGCTGGACCCAAACGTTGGGTTCCTGGACTTCGGCCGAGTTTTATTTTCAGTTCTGAGAGAGAGGTACAAGATAAAAGGCAGAACGACACAAAACACGACACGAAAGCACACGACGTTCAGGTCCAGCTTCGTGCAACGCGCGCGAGGGTGACCGGCAGCTCTCTGGAGCTGGCGAGGGCGGGGAGGCGAGCTGGGGGCAGGAGGGAGGGCGGAGGGCGGAGGGTGCCCCCGATCGCCGAGAGAGCTTGCGCTCGGATCACCGAGCCCCGGCTCCCTCGCTGGCGACCCCATTCCCCTCGGGCCACGCAAGCCTGCTGGAGGAGGAGGAGGAGGAGGAGGAGGAGGAGGAGGAGGAGGAGGAGGAGGAGGAGGGGGAGGAGGAGGAGGAGGAGGAGGAGGAGGAGGAGGAGGAGGAGGAAGTGCGCGGCGGAGGAGTTGCGCGGCTGTGGCACAGCCGCGCTTCTGCCAGACAGGAGCAGCCGTCGAAACAGTATGAATTGGCCCACTTTGGGTTCGCGTGCTCTGCGCCGTACTTCTGCGTTCGGCACCCGTGAGATCATGGAGTGCCAAAAGCCCAGTATATCCTGCATGCGCTGTGCCTGAAACGTGGCGAATGTGTCTTGGTCGGCTTTTCTCAGGTAGATCGTCTCTGTGCTGTATGAGATCTTGCGAGTTCGTGAGATGTTCGCATGCCTCCACGGAAGCCTGAGCTTCTGGAAGGCCGACTTTGCTTCCCCAATCAGTCTTGCGATATTTGTGCCTGTGTCTCCATCGGCGCACACCAGCTCACCCAAATAGAAGGCGGAAACGACCTGCTTCACTGGCACCCCCTCTGCTGTCCGGATGTCAGTGTCATGTCTGATTTGCAGATGCACGTTTTTTCCCCGGTACGGTTCGAGACCGTATTTGCAAGCTCTCGACAGGAGACAAGTCAATGAGATGGTGTAGCAGGTTCGAGGAGCGTGTTTCTGTATTGCCTGGGCCATAACGCAATATGGCCCCCAGCCCCCCCTCCCCCCTTATCATAACGCTCCCCCCCGAGTGCACCCCAGGCACTGCTCCATGCGCATAGAGATCCGCGTAGGGAGCCGATTAGGGATCCGCGTAGGCATCCGCAGAAATTCTCATAGGGATCCACCCGCATGGGGTTTGCATGTGGGTATCCATCGGGCTCCGCAAAGGGATCTGCATAGGGATCCGCATCGAGATTTCCATAATGATTCTCATGGGGATCCGCATAGGAATTCCTATACAGATCCGCACAGGAATCTGCATAGGGATCCGCATTACAATTCGCATAGGGATCCGCATACGGATCCGCACAGGGATGTCCTTAGGAAACCGCATAAGGGGTCCGTATAGGGATCCGCACGGGCATCCCCATCGCAGATAGAGATCCGCGGTGGTCGCCGGCAAGTTGCGGTGCATTCAGGCACTTGTGGTGTTCGTAAGAGAAGGAGCTAGAGGAGGAGAAGGACGACGACGACGAGGAAGGAGGAGGGAGAGAAGGAGCATACCTCTTATACGCCACGTGGAGGCAGCGACACCTTCGCAAACATGTGCCCACCACAACTCGTCTCTTGCAACCGTCGCTCTTCTTCGCTCTTCGTCGTCGTCGTCGTCGTCGTCGTCGCTCGTCGTCGTCGTCGTCGTCGTCGTCGTCGTCGTCGTCGTCGTCGTCGTCGCCATCGTCTTCGTCGTTGTCGTCGCTCGTCGTCGCTCGCCGTCTCTCGTCGTCGTTGACGGGCGTCGAAGGCCTTTGAGGGCCTCCGGAGGCTTTCGGAGGACCAGCGTAGGGCCTTTGGAGGCCTCCAGAGGCTTCAGGAGGCTTCTGGAGGCCTCGGGAGACCTCCAGAGACATCCGGAGACCGAGAGAGTTCCAGAGGCGTCGCTCGTCGTCGCCGCCGCCGTCGTCGTCGTCGCCGCCGCCGTCGTCGTCGTCGTCGCCGTAGTCGTCGTCGTTGTCGTCGCCGTTGTCGTCGTCGTCGTCGTCGTCGTCGTCGGTCATCGTCGGTCGTCGTCGTCGTCGTCGTCGTCGTCGTCGTTGTCGTCTTCGTCGTCGATGTCGTCGCCGTCGTCGTCGTCGTCGTCGTCGTCGTCGTCGTCGTCGTCGTCGTCGTCGTCGTCACCGTCGTCGCTCGTCGCTCGTCGCTCGTCGCTCGTCGTCGTCGTCGTCGTCGTGCGCGCGGACGCTGCGGCGGTGCTGGAACCACACTGCTGGGGGGAGGGCGTTACGTTATGCCCCCCCCGCCCGTCCCTATAACGACCGTTATCGCCGCGAGTAAAGAAACGGGCTCAAGGACGGACAAGTTAAGAAACCAGGCTCGTCTTCTTACGTCGACACCCCACATTCGGTGGAGGATGGGTACGGTAGCTGATCTATCATATAACTTGCGAACAGCATCGACTTGTTTTCTCGAAGCGGGGCTGGAGTGCCTGCGTGGCCTGACGCCTACTCACGTGTACATGCTGGCTGGAAGCCTGTGTGTCTCTGGTGGCGTCTCCTGCCCATGCTGGCGCCTGCCTCCCCCACCAACATGTTTAAGCACCTCTCTGATCCGCGCCGTGTGCGCGAGAGATCGATCTTTGCACATCGCTTTCTGTGCGCCATTCCCCCTCCTTCTGGGGCTGTGCGACTCGTCAGCGCACGCTTCCCGCGCGTGCCTGCTAAGCAGGCGCGAGCCCACTCCCAAACTTCTGCCAGGACTATTTTCTCACGCGAGTTGAAAGAAACGACAAAGACACGTGAGGTTACAATGTCGTCTCAACCTGTTCGTCTATGTGTAATTAGCGTGTGAAGGGTGTGCCAAAATGGATGCGTTGGCCGGGCCTTCGGTGCAGCTCCACACGGGGCCACGAAACATGCGAGGGGTGTGCCAGAATGGGTGCGATGGCCGCATGCGAGCGCTGGCGTCTGGGCCTTCGGTGGAGCTCCCCATGGGGCCGCGAAACGTTTGAGGGATGTGCCGAATACATGGGCGCGGTGGCGCCATGCGAGCGCTAGCATTTGGGCCTTCGGTGGAGCTCCCCATGGGGCCTAGAAGCGCGTGAGGGGTTTGCCAGAATGGGTGCGTTGGCCGCGTGCGAGCGCTGGTATTTGGGCCTTCGGTGCAGCTCCACATGGGGCCACGAAACATGCGAGGGGTGTGCCGAAATGGGTGCGGTGGCCGCATGCGAGCGTTGGCGTCTGAGCCTTCTGTGGAGCTTCCTATGGGGCCACGCAGCGTGTGAGGGGTGTGCCGAAGAAGTGGGCGCGGTGGCGCCATGCGAGCGCTGGCATCTGGGCCTTCGGTGGAGCTCCCTATGGGGCCACGAGACGTGTGAGGGGTGTGCCGAAGAAGTGGGCGCGGTGGCGCCATGCGAGCGTTGGCATCTACGCCTTCGGTGGAGCTCCCTATGGGGCCACGAAGCGCGTGAGTGGTTTGCCAGAATGGGTGCGGTGGCCGCATGCGAGCGTTGGCATCTGGAGCCTTCGGTGGAGCTCCCTACGGGGCCACGAGACGTGTTAGGGGTGTGCCGAAGAAGTGGGCGCGGTGGCGCCATGCGAGCGCTGGCATCTACGCCTTCGGTGGAGCTCCCGATGGGGCCACGAAGCGCGTGAGTGGTTTGCCAGAATGGGTGCAGTGGCCGCATGCGAGCGTTGGCATCTGGAGCCTTCGGTGGAGCTCCCTGTGGGGCCACGAAACGTGTGAGGGGTGTGCCTGAATGGATGCGGTGGCGTCATGCGGGCGCAGCCACCAGGACCGTCGGTGGAGTTCCTATGAGGCCACGAAGCGTGTGAGGGGTGTGCCGACATGGGTGCGGTGGCGCCACGCAAGCGCAGCCACTGGTTTCTTCGGTGGCGTTCCCCATGGGGTCACGAAGCGTGTGAGGAGTGTGCCGACATGGTGGACATGCGGAAAGCGGAGGCAGGGATGGGAGGAGGAGGGAGGAGAAGGAGGAGGAGGAGGGAGGAGAGGAGAGGGGAGGAGGAGGAGAACGTGGGGCGCTGTCTCTTCAAAACCACGACCCAACACCACAGGATGGTTGGGGAAAAATGGGAGGAAACAATAGAGCTCGCGAAAGTGGGGACAGTTGCGCATGTCGCAGCCCCCAGCCACGGCGAGGTCTCATCTGATCTGGCTGGGACGTCGCTCTGCTGGACCTCCCACGAGCCCACGACAGTGGTGACAGTGGCGCAGTTCGCAGCCTCCCAGGGAGCAGCGAGGTTCCCGTCAGGGTGCGCGTGCCCCTCGGTTCCGATGGGCCTCCCAGGAGCCCACGAAAGTGGCGACAGTTGCGCAGTTCACCGGCTCCCAGGGAGCAGCGAGGTATGGTGATAGTTGCGCAGTTCGCAGCCCAGATAGCAGAGAGGTCTCGTCTGGGTGCGCGTGGCCGCCGACTCCGCTGGGCCTCCCAGGAGCCCACGAAAGTGGCGACAGTTGCGCAGTCCGCAGCCGCCCAGGGGTCAGCGAGGTCTCGTCTGGGTGCGCGTGGCCGACGACTCCGCTGGACCTCTGAGGAGCCCACGAAAGTTGCAAAAAATTATGCAATTCGCTGCCACCCAGGAAGCAGCGAGATCCCGTGTGTGGGTGCGCGTGGCCCCCGACTCAGCTGGACCTCCCAGGAGCCCATGGAATTGGCGACAGTTGCGCAGTTCGCAGCCACTCATAATGCACCGAGGTCTCGTCTGGGCGTGCGTGGCCCCCGATTCCGCTGGACCTTCCAGGAGCCCACGCGAGTGGCGACAGTTGCGCAGTTCACGGCCACCCAGGGGGCAGCCAAGGAGGAGGCGGGAGGGGGGGATGAGGAGAGGAGGAGCGGAGACCACGGTGCTCGATTCAAAACGAGAACCCAACACAGGAGGGCTGGGAAGCAACATACGCACAATTTTTCTGAGGTCCGCCCGGATGGCCGGGATCGGCGTTGGGGGCCCCTCCCTGGAGCGCGGAGTGTTGTGTCCCCCCCGAAGGGCTCAGGCGACCCGTCCTCCTCCTCCTCCTCCTCCTCCTCCTCCTACTTCCTCCTCCTCCTCCTCCTCCTCTCTCCTCCTCCTCCTCCTCTCGGGTGGGCCGGGCGGGCGGGACCCTAACGGGACGGTGGGCCGGGCGGGACCATAACGGGTTGGTCGGGCGGGCGGGACCCCAACGGGACGGTTTGGCGGGGGGGACCATAACGGGCGGGACTTTGCCGGGCGGGTCGGGAGGACGGTCGGGCAGGCGGGGGCCCCGCGGAGTCCCCCGCCCTCCTGAGAAGTTGGCGAAGCCTGCCCCGAAGACGCAGAAGCAACCTCTCGGAAGGCGCGAGGGCTTCCTGAGAAGTCCCGCCGCCTGCTGAGAAGGCCTTCTCCTGCTCCTTCCCCCCCCCCGCCCGCCGCCGCGCAATGGACGAGCCCCGGCGAGGAGACGGCCGAGCTGTGCGTGGAGGTGCGGCTGCTGCGCGCAGACGGCTGGGAACTGCGCGGCGACACAGCGCGCGCCGTGCGGGAGGCGGGCCCGGCGGGGCGGATGCTCGTTTTCGAGGCTCTCCCTGTGCTGACCTGGGGGCATTGTTCGGCACTAGTTCGGCTCTCCTTCGTTTAGCTAGATTCAAGCGCGACTCAAGTTCGATTCAAGTTCGGCTCAAGTCGACGGCAGTTCGACGCAGCATCGACGCATGAGCGGAGCGAGTGGCTCCAGGGAGGTCCCCAGAACGAGCATCCAAGGTGGGGCGCACGCGAGCTCGGTCTGTTTCGGCTTCTCTCTTAGGGGCAACGGTATAGGCTCAGGGGGTGTGCAGCGTCAGGGGGGATGGGCTCAGGGGGATCGCCCACTCATCGCCGGTGGGGGGCCGATAGCCCATTCTCGCCCAGGAGCCTTCGAATGTGCTGGCTGGAGCTTATCGCCAATCGGCAATGGATGCGAGATGGATGCGACAATCGAGCGGTAATCCTGGCAAGTGTACCGACCAGTATGGTCTGTCGGGTTCAGGAAGTTCCGCCCATTGTCAGGTTATTGTCGAAGGCAGGGTGGCGCATTCGGTGGCTGCGCTGACACCAGTGGGTTCGCTGTCAGGCTTCGCCACCCGCGCCCCCAAAGACACGGGCCTACAGTCAGGCCGCCGCAGAAGGAGCCCTTCTCGTTGGGGAGGGGTTCGCCAGGCGCGGGGACGGAGAGACGCGAGAGTGATTTTTGGGGCGGCGATGGAGAGGGTCGGGGGAGGCCAAGGCGGGGGAGGATGACGAGGGGGCTTAGCTGCCCTGACACGGTCCTCCTCCGCCTCCTCTGCCTGCCTCCTCCTCCTCCTCCTCCTCCGCCTCCTCCTCCTCCGTCTCCTCCGCCTCCTCCTCCTCCTCCTCCGCCTCCTCCTCCTCCGCCTTCTCCTCCTCCTCCTCCTCCTCCTCCTCCTCCTCCTCCTCCTCCTCCTCCTCGGTGTGGATCACGCGCCCGCGCCCCGCGGGGCGGCGGCGCGCCCGAGGATCGCCCGGCGCCACGTGCTGGCCTCACGTCTCTGGGGCGGGCGTGTCGCGCGCCAGACGTGCGCTGTCGGCCTGCGTGTGGAGCTCCGTGCCAGCACGCTGCGGGTTGCCTGTTGCGTATCCGGGCCCCCTCCAGAGGGGCACCGTCCTCGTGAGGGTCGCCACCCTTCGAAGGGGCCGGGGCGCCCGAGCCGCAGCCGGCCTGCAGAGCCGGCAGAGGGCTTCGGCCCCTCCAGAGGGGCACCATCCTCGTGAGGGCCGCCACTTTGTTATTCGAGGGGCCAGGGCGCCCGAGCCACAACTGGCCTACAGAGGGGGGGGCGGACAGCACGGCGGCCGCCACGACATCTCCCCTGGTGTCATGGCGCCGCTTCTTGTCCCAATGCTTGCCCTGGTGCGCCCCCGCGCCCTGGCGCCCTCTCCCCCCCCCGGGGACGGGGACGGCGGCAACCACTCGACCTCCTCCACCTGCACCTTCGGTCCGGACGCCGTCGTCGCCAGGCTGCCCCCGCGGCCCTGCTCCTCCGGCTCCAGCCTCCGCCTCTTCTTGTCATCATCGCCCTCCTGGCGCGCCACCGCGGCCAGGTCCTTCTTCCGCCTCTTCCGCTGCAGCCGTGCCGATCCGGCGTTGGCGGAGGAGTTGGCTGGCACGAAACTGAGGCACATCCCCTAGAACCAAGGTGAGCGCCGAGCTGTGAAGCCGAGAGCTCGAGCGGATAAGGAACAGGCTCAGCACCCGGGCGCACTGAAAGCCCCGGCAGACACTCAGACGTGCCCCTCCTGAGCACCAGCCTCTGATCGCGGCCGCTTCCTGGGCCGCTCACTGCGGCCTCGTCCTCCGCCCTCTCCAGCCTTCCTCCTTACCCTGGGCGCTGGTGCGACGGGTCTGCCTGGAAGCCCTGGCCGGTCGACCTCCGTCCCCTCATTCACCTCCGCCGCGGGCTGCACATCCACCTTCCCGCTGCCTCCACCTTCTCCTTGGCCTCCCGCGGCCTCCCTGCCCTCCTGTGGTATTGTTGCGGACGGCATCTCCTCCTCCCTGCTGCCTCCGCCTCCTCCTTGGCGCCCCGCCTCCTCCCTGCCCTCCTGTGGTGTTGTCGCGGACAGCATCTCCTCCTCCCTGCTGCCTATGCGTTATTTATCGTTCCCTATGCGTTATGTATTATTTGTTCATCGTTCCCTATGCGTTCTTCCTTGGAAGAAAGGGGCTTCGTTCCTTATTTATCGTTCCTTAGGTCAGGCCGATGACTGTAGAGCTCAGCGTCGTTGCGCGTACAGTGGAGACCCATGCAAAGAAACACCCTGCTTGCCTCCAGGGTGCGCTGGGTTTCTTGGGTCTCGCTGGTTTTGCTCTGAAGAAAAATGCGCGACCCTCCAACACCAAAAACATCGATGGACGTCCTGGAGTCTCGGGGCTGGGCTTCTTGTGGAAGGTGTCTTGTGGACTGGCCTCCGCTGTGCCTGTCGACTCCCTGGCACTATATGCGAGATGGACAGCAAGCGGGCGTGTGCGTTGTCTCCCTCTCGCCTCTTCCTCCCCCTCTCCAAAATAACGTGGAACAAAACAAAGGACTGGCCTCCACTGTACTGGACTGCGCCTCGGCAGAACTCGGCGTCGCTGCGCGCAGGGCGCCGCCACGGCGCGAGCCGGCGCGCGCGCCACGCCTCCCGGCGGTCGTGCTCCAGTCTCTATTCATTTCCGCGGCATCCTCGGGCTGACGGCTCATGGCAAGAAGGGGCGAAGCGTCCTGGCTGGCCTATGGGCCCACCAAATAATGTGAATGTTCTACGAACCTGTTGTGGTCTGCAAGAGATGTTCGTAGAACAGCTCTGGCCGGGCCTGTCTTGCTTTAGCTTGTCGGGCTTCTGTGTTCTAAGAACATGGGTTTTGTTCTGAGAGCACTTCTGGGTTGGGAGAACGTGTCGTGGTAGGCCCGTAGGACTGCCAGGACGGTCGGTCCCTGCTCACTCATGACCCTGCCTGTCCCTGGGTGGGTCCATCTCCCTCCTCGCTCTGGTGGGGCCTTGGGGCTGGCCGCCTCCACCTCTTCGTTCGCTTCCTCCTCCTCAGGCGCCGCCGCCTCCCCTGTCTCCAGCCACCCCTCCCTACGGAGGGAGGAGGGAGGAGGGAGGAGGGAGGAGGGAGGAGGGAGGAGGGAGGAGGGAGGAGGGAGGAGGGAGGAGGGAGGAGGGGGAGGGAGGAGGGAGGAGGGAGGAGGGAGGAGGGAGGAGGGAGGAGGGAGGGAGGAGGAGAGGAGGGAGGAGGAGGGAGGAGGGAGGAGGGAGGAGGGAGGAGGGAGGAGGGAGGAGGAGGGAGGGAGGGAGGAGGGTGGAGGGAGGGAGGGAGGAGGGGAGGGAGGAGGAGGAGGGAGGAGGGAGGAGGGAGGAGGAGGAGGAGGAGGGAGGAGGGGAGGAGGGGAGGAGGAGGAGGAGGAGGAGGAGGATGAGGAGGAGGAGGAGGAGGAGGAGGAGGAGGAGGAGGAGGAGGAGGAGGAGGAGGAGGAGGAGGAGAGGAGGAGGAGGGAGGAGGAGGAGGAGGAGGAGGAGGAGGAGGAGGAGGAGGAGGAGGAGGAGGAGGAGGAGGAGGAGGAGGAGGAGGAGGAGGAGGAGGAGGAGGAGGTGGAGGAGGAGGAGGAGGAGGAGGAGGAGGAGGAGGAGGAGGAGGAGGAGGAGGAGGAGGAGGAGGAGGAGGAGGAGGAGGAGGAGGAGGAGGCGGAGGAGGAGAGGAGGAGGAGGAGGAGGAGGAGGAGGAGGAGGAGGAGGAGGAGGAGGAGGAGGAGGCGGGAGGAGGAGGAGGAGGAGGAGGAGGAAGGAGGAGGAGGCGGAGGCGGAGGCGGAGGAGGCGGAGGAGGAGGAGGAGGAGGAGGAGGAGGAGGAGGAGAGGAGGAGGAGGAGGAGGAGGAGGCGGAGGAGGAGGTGGAGGAGGAGGAGGAGGAGGAGGAGGAGGAGGAGGCGAGCACCCTCAGGTGCTCTACGCCATGCACTTTCTGCAGCTGCTGGCGAGGCCCCCGGAGGCTGGCCACGCCGGCGCCCGGTACCGCGTCCACCCTGGCGCTCAGCTGTGGGGCAGGCCTCGCCTTTCGGGGGGGGACTCGAGGGGCTCCGCGCTTTCTCGGAGGAGGGAATAGGTACGCACCTGTGTGCCAGCACGTGCACGCCAGTCGTTGAAAGCAGGGAATTTGTGGATGCCCAAGTCCTCTGCCCTCTTCTCCAGGTGGCGGGCGGAAGCCCAGCCTACTTTTGACGCCTCCCAGCTTCAAGTTCCTACCTACTTCTTCCGACCGACGGGTAAGTGCATCCTCCTCTCTGCCCGACTTCTGTGTCCATTTGGGCACAGGCGCTCGGCCGTTTCTGAACAGCCCGCCCACCACCCTGGGGCATCAAGCTCCCGGGAGTGGCAGGGGCCTGGCGCCAAGGCCCCTACCACCGCCACCCGTGAAAGAGGCATCTCCGTCATCCTCTGCCCTTCGTTCTCCGCAGTCGCACCGTCACTGAGGCGCATCGAGGGTACCGATCAGAGGAGGAACTCACCGCCTGCCAAACCACCCCAACCCAACCCGAAGGCCCCGATTTGTCCCCCTTTCCAGTGGGGGGGGGTCGGGGACCATTGAAGAAGCACGTGTGCAACCCGTAACCCCTCCAACCCGAAGTTCGGGTCTTCGGGTCAGGTCGGGGTGGTTTGGTAGGTAGCCAGGAACAGGCACCGATGTCGCCTCGGCTTCGCCTGCCCGGGCCTCCTGGAGAGGCCCTCGTCGCCACGGCTGGCTTCGCCTCGAGGTCCTGGGCAGCACGCGCTCCGGCAGAGGCCCCTGAGAGTTGCGGTGTGAGTACCTTTTTGAAGGGGCCCTGAGACACACAAATTAATACACACTAATAAAAGGATTCCCCATATTTTCTAATATTTGTTTTTGGGTTTTTGCCTTCCCCCCCCACTTCCCATATTGTCCCATATTTTCTTGGGTCGACGATTCAGTGTGTCTGTGTTTTTTTCCCCCTCCTGACTTTTGCCGAAGAAGAAAGACTGGCATACACATGCACTTTTGGCGCTCCGCGCGGAATTCTTGGATCCGCGCCGGGCCCTCCCCCCGGCGGCGCCTCCTCTGGCGCCGCCCCTGGCGCGCTCCGCGCGCCAGGCAGCGGGGGGTGTCCAGCGCAGATGCCAGAAGTCCGGGCGGGCCGTCGGAAGCTGACGTCTATAGGCCGTATTCTTCGTTCCCCTGCCCCACTCTCGGCTTGCGTCTCCCGCTCGTGTCAGGAGGGAAAAACACAGACACAATGAATCGTCGATCCCCCCAGAAAGATAGGAAGATATGGGAAGTGGGGGGGGGAGACAGAACCCCCGAAAACATGGGACGATATGGGGATTCCTGTTACTTGTTTGTACTCATTGGTGTGTCCCAGGGCCCCTCCATCGTGGTGCGGGGGGAGGGTCTGGGCCCTCGGCCTCGGGGCCGCGGCCGCGCGGGAGGCCCTTGGGTGCGGCGCCACGGCAGGCAGCCCGTCGCGGCTCGGGCCGCTCTGTGGCGCTCCGCTCTCGGCGCGGCCGCCCGCGCTCGAGGGCTCGTGGTGCCGGCTGCCGCTCCTGGGAGGTCGACTCCCGGAGATTCCGCGTATTTCGGGGGCGGAAAAGAAGGGGGTGATGACCAGGGGGGGGGGGTATCATGGCGTGGGCCATGATATTTCTTCAGATTTCATGGCGCCTCTTCTTATTTCATTACGTCCCTGGACCCCGCTGGGCCGCGCACATGCCGCCGGTCATGATTTGCACCCCCCCCTCATGGACACCCCCCTCTTGGCCGCTCCCGAGTATTGAGAAAATCACGACGGAGGTTTTTCACAGTTTTCGGCCTCGAGGGGCCCTCACCGGGCCTCGCGGCCGGCAAACAACGACGCAGGATGCAAAACCGGTCCTGGTGAACGGGTCGAGACTTCCTGGGGCCACGTATGGAAACAGGCACGACATCGGATCTCTGGGATTCTGAATTGGTCCGAAATCCGGCTTAATCCAGCTCGATCCCGCTTCATCTTGCTGAATATTTTTTCATCCCGCTTCGTCCGGCTTATTCCCACTGAATCCGCGGCCCAATTTGGCGCAGCAGCAGCTCCCCAACGGAGCTTACTCCTCCTTGATCCTGCCGACGGAGACCTCCCAGCAGCTGCCTCCTACCATGTTCGGCGTTGACTCGTGATTTCGTTGTTTTTTTCGCTGACCTCACGAATTTTCTCGCTCCCTCTCCCGTTACCGCTCCTCCGTCTTCGCTCCTCTCCTGCCCTTTTGATCATGTGCTCGGTCTCACGCACCATCGGCTGCGCGCTTCTTGTCAAAAGGAGGAATCGGTTCAATACCCGTTCCGCTACCCTTCTCTCGTCTTTCCTCCTGGGAGGCTCTCGTCGCCACCGCTGGCATCGCCTCGAAGTCCTGGTCAGGACGCGCCCAGGAGTTAGTGGTATCGGTACCTTTTGGTTTCCCTATCTTGGAGCAACCCCAGGGGCCTCACGCTTTTGCTTACGGTCGGACCGGAGTATAAGATTTGAAAGCCTGGGGTTCGTTGGGGACTTGTTCCCCCCCAAACCGACGAAAACTCTTCAAAGACCTTCCCGAAACCCTCCGAAACGCATTTGGGAACCCTTCCCAGAAGGAAACCAGCCCGTAGCGAATCCTGGACCTTTTTACATACTAAGGTCGACATCGGCTCGGGGAGGGTACCCTCATGTTCTTCGTGCTTGCTGGATGTTCTTGTGCACCCTGGGGGGGAGGGTGCCCTCGAGTGTTATTCGGTTTGGCCGGCGGAGGGTCCCATGTTCTTGAAGGATGTTCTCTCTGGGCAACTCAAAAGGGGGTCCAGCGAGAAAGGGGTGGTGCAATAGATTTGTGGGGCTGCACCAGAACTGGGCAATGCATTTGCTACAATACAATGCAAAGCAATTCTCTGGCGCAATGCATTTGCAATACAACTGCCCCAAATCTACTCCACCACTCCCTTTCGGCTGGACCCCCTGTTGGGTCAACCAAGTTCTCCTGTCCCAGGTCCGGCCGTCTTTGAGCTGCGCCGCACGAGGGCCGACGACACGCTAGAGTGACTTTTCGCCGGAGTGACCTTTCTTGCGGACCCATGGGGGTCTCCCGATCGCCGAGCGCGATGCGAGAGTGGCGTCCTGCGCGCTCGTGTTTGGCCCCCCCGCGGCACCCAAGAAGCCGCGCACCAAAGGTCCCTCTCACCCAGGGTCACTCTCGCGTGCAGTCGAGAGGGGCAGGGAGGGCGTGGGACCCCCCCAGGGGTCATTGATGTTCCAGCCTGCTTCAGCCTGGATCACCAGAAGGCATTTCGAGCACCAAGAAAGTACCGAAACCTCCCACTTCTTTTCGCCCTCCTCCTCCTCCTCCCTCCTGTTCCGTCCTCCAGGTCCGCTTTCGCTTCTCCCGAGCCGTTCTGGGGCCGTCCCGGAACCCTGACGGCCGAAACCGACCTTAAGAAGGCTCTCCGTGGCTGCTTCAGACCGTGGGAGGCCTGGGGAACGGCAGGTTCGCGCCTGGTGATGCGGCGGCGATCCCTCCTCGGGCATTCAAGGTTGAACGCTGCCGGTAGCCCAGAGTATAGATTTATATATGATAAGATAGATCGGTATATCTCTCTCTATATACATATATCGATACGTAGCCATGTAACTATGGTTCGAGCAATACGTATGTATACATACAAATACACATACACACGCATATGTGCATACATACATATACATACAGGCACGCGCACACACATATATATATATATATATTTATGTATCGGACTATATATATATAAAAACATAGATGTACCGATGCAGTTATAGGCAATGCAAATGCATATACATGCATATTCACACATTTATATACACATATATGTGTATATATACATTTACCGGCATATCGATATACATATGTATATATGTACACATGTACACGTCGATATAATATCTACCTATCTATATGGATCGATCGATCGGCAGGTTCGTGCCGGCTGACGCGGCGGCGATCGCTCAACGGGCATTCGAGGTTGAACGCTGCCTGTGGCCCAGAGTCGGCCAAACACGGAACAATCCTGGCGGTCGAAGAGCCGCCGATCGATCAAGGTTGGGCGGTGCACTCGGCGTCAGAGACCAACGTGACGCCTGCGTCGTCACGACACGAGATTTCCGTGGATGACCCAGGCCCCTGACGTCGTGTTTTTTTCTGTTGTTGGTTCCAAAGCGTCGATTCCCAGAGGTCTCGACCCTTTCCCTGGGACCAGTTTTTCGTCCCGAGTCTTTTTCTGACGGTCCCGGGGGGGGCCCCGCGAGGGCCCCCAGAGGCCGAAAACCGCAAGAAGCTTCCCGTCGTGATTTTTTCCACGATGCGAGGGGGTCTGGGGAGCGCAGCGGTCAGAGCCCCGGGCTTGTCCTGGAGGGGTAGCTTTAAGTCGGGCATGGCCCCTTACATGAGGAATATCCAAACATAGTGAAACCTACTCTGGGGACGATGTTTCTACTCTTTCGGCCTCTCTTTGAATCTTTTTGGACTCTTCGCCACTGTTCTTCCAAAGCCCGCCTGTGGGAGGGCATGCCTGGCCGAAGGGTCGCGGGCGTGGGCCGCCGCGGGGGGCAGGCTGCGCCGCCGCATGGTGCACCTGCTGGTCGCGCAGGGCCGCCACGCCGCGGCCTCGGCGCGGCTCGGCTCGGCCGCCGCTTTCCGCGGGCGTCGGATCGCCGCCGTTTCCGCCGCCGCCGCCGCCTGCGCTCGGCCGCGGCGGTATCCCTGGCCTGGCCTCTCTTCCCAGACCCCCTCGAGCAATGAGAAGAATCAGGACGGGAGGTTTTTCACAGCTTTCGGCATCTGGGGGCCCTTCCTTACCGGGCCTTGGGGACCGTCCAGCAGAAGCGGCTCGGGATGAAACGCCGGTCCTGGGGAAGGGGTCCGGACTTCTTTTGGGTCGATGTCCGGAGCAAATCACGGCGTCGGGGGTCTGGGTTCGGGGAGACGCGAGACTCGAGCAAGTAAGCCGGAGCGCGGGTTAGCCGACGTCTTTTGACGAGCGCGTCCCGGATGTTGGCGGTGTCCAGTTGTCGTGGGATGTCTGCTGCTGGAGCTCGCGTCGAGTTTCAGAGCCTGCCTCGCCATTCTTATGGTGGCCCCGTCAGTCGGAGGCCCACAACACCAATATCGGCGGTGTGCCTCCACCGAGGGAAGGCGATCCCGTTCTCTGTGATGGTGGCAACGTTCGGGCTTCCAAGGTGACCGAAAGAAGACCACCAGCACCAGAATCTGGGACCAGCCTCCCCTGGTGGAGGCAACCCCCTTACAGTCGGGGCCCTGAAGAAGGAACCCTTTTCGTTGCCAACCCTTTAGGGAACCCTTTAGGGTTCCGTAAGCTTCCTTAGGTCAACGCCCCGACGGTATTTGGTGTTGGTGCCCATGTCCTGACCTCCAAGTCGGTCTCCCCGATCTCTCCTCGCGTGGGTCGGTGTGCCTGCCAGTGCTGCCGGGGCTGCCTCTGCGCCCAGAGCCCAGGGGCGTAAGGAAGCGCACCCCTCGCCTGGTTTCGCTGGTGCGGCCAAGAGTGGCGTGATGACTACAGTTGGGGCGCTGAAGAAGGAACCCTTTTCGTTTGGGAGGGGCTCCCTGTTAGAGGTGTTACTGTCTGCCTTAGGTTCACCTTTGGTTTTCGATCGGGAACCGAAGTTGAACTTAAGGGAAAAAGGGGCCTCGTTCCTAATTTATCGTTCCTTAGGTCAACGCCCCTGCTGAAGGGGGGGGGGATCTCATGGCGTGGGCCATGACATCTCCCCAGATTTCATGGCGCCTCTGCTTATGTCAATGCGTCCCCGGTTCCCCCCCTTGGCCGCCCACACGCCGCTGGCCATGATTTGCGCCCCCCCCCCTCTTGGACGCCCCCCTCTTGGCCGCCCCCGAGTTTACGAGGCTGACGGGGTAAACCCTGCGTGTCGCGCGGCGTCCTGGCGGCTCTCTGGCCTTTGGGAGCTCCCAGGATATTTGCAGGCCGCGCACTTAATTATCAACGAAACGTCGACTCGCAGGAAAACATGGGGATACATGGGAAGTGGGGGGGAAGACGAAATTCCAGAAAATGTAGCAACGGATGGGGGATCCTGGGATTTGCGTCTATTCATTCGTGTGTCCCTGGGCCCTTTTCTATTTTGGGCCTCCCGGGAGGCTCTCGTCGCCACGGCCGGGTTCGCCCCGAGGTTCGGGTCAGAGCGCGGTGTCGGTATTGCGAAGGCCTTACGGCCCGTGCCGCCGACCCTGAATGGCGACGACGACGACGACGACGACGACGACGACGACGACGACGACGACGACGACGACGACGGCGACGACGACGACGACGACGGCGACGGCGACGGCGACGGCGACGGCGACGGCGACGGCGACGGCGACGGCGACGACGACGACGACGGCGACGACGACGACGACAACGACGGCGACGACGGGCGGATTTCTTGGCCTCCCCGGGAGCGGGCCGTCCCTGGCCGGGCCTCTCTCTCTGCGCGCGGGCTCCCGCGTGCCTGCCGGTGCCGCTTGGCCCTGCGGTGGGGGCCACGGCAGAGCTGGACTTTTCGGGGGGCCCCAGGCGGGGTGCTCGGCATCGCTCGGACGTGTGCATTTTTCCTTCGGCGAGGACCATCGAGGAGCATCCTTGATCATTCGGCGAAAAACCCACGCTCCAAACCGAAAGAAGCACAGGGAATGGACGTCCGAGCGATGGCCAGGGTGAGGGTTCGATGTCTGTTCATGGGAGCCTTGGGCGGCGACACCGAAATCAGCTGTTCCTGCCTTTGGACCGCGCAGGGAACGCACTTGGCCTGTCCTTCTGCTCCTCCTCTCCCCTCCTGTCCCCCCTCCCCCTCATCGTTCTCCTGGTGCCCGCGAATCCAGTCCAAATCTGGTCCAAATCCGATCCAAAGTTGTGCCAAATCCGGTCCAAACCTGGCCCAAATCGGACAGCGCTGGGGGCCACTCAGGCTCCCATGGAACGGACACCAAAGGAGGGGGAGAGGGACGAGGAGGAAGAGGAGGGACGGGAGGAGGAGACGGAGGCGACGAGGAGGGGGGCCTCGAAGAAGAGAACGCCATAAGCACCACCGTTTGGCGCTCCGCGCGGATTTCTTGGATCCGCGCGGGGCCCCGAGTTGTTGTTATTGTTGTTATCGTTGGTGTTGTGATCGTTGTGATTGTTATCGTTATCTCTGTGATCGTTATTTTTACGTCTCGAAGAAGACAAAACAACGCCATCAGCATAACCTCTTTGCGCTCCGCGCGGATTTCTTGGATCCGCGCTGGGCCTCCCCGGCGGCGCCTCCAGCGCCGCCCCTTGCGCACTCGTCCAGCGCAGATCCAAGAAATCCGCGCAGAGCGCCGAAAGTTTATGCTTTTTGCAGTTTTGTGTTCCTCTCTGGACGCAGCTCGGGAAACTGGTGCGCTGGGATCCCGGGAGGAGTCCGGTCACCGATTCTGAGTTTCGGGGGCGGAAAAGAGGGGGGTGATGACTAGGGGGGGGCGGATATCATGGCGTGGGCCATGATATTTCCCCAGATTTCATAACGCCTCTTCTTATTTCATTGCGTTCCTGGCCGGCCCCCCGCTGGGCCGCGCACATGCCGCCGTTCATGATTTGCACCCCCCCTCTTGGACACCCCCCTCTTGGCCGCTCCCGAGAGTTGCCAGCGCCTCCACTCGCCCTGCTCCGAGTTTCTGCTGCTGCTGCCCCAGGCATGCGACGTCTTCACTCTTGTCAGTCTTCGGTCCCCGGCAGTCCCGACCCATTCCCTGACGAACGATCAATACGTACCCATACCCAGATGGGGGGACGGAATGAGCTATGGGTGCGTGTTGTCGGATGGGGGTCCCCGCTCGAACGGGAGCCTCCCCAGGGGTTCGACAACTCGCACCCATACCCATAGCCAGTCCTCCTCCCTCCGACCTCCCTATGGGTATGTGTGTGTGTGTGTTGTTCGTTCGTCATTCCACTGGGCCGGCTTTCTCATCCTGAGTCGGTCTTCGACGGTCCTGGGGCCCGCCGAGGGTCTTCGAAGTCCGAAAGTTGCAGAAAGCCGCCTGTCCTGACTTTTGTAAATTCGTGATCTTTCCTGGGTCGTGCCCACAACGCAGTGCGCTCGCACTCTGGTCGGAGGGAACCAGCGTGCCCAGACCCCTGACGTCATGATTTGTTCATGGCGTCGACCCTGGAGGTCTCGACCCACTCCCCAGGACCGGTTCTTTGCCCCGAGCCTTTTGTGGACGGTCCTGGGGCCGGGTAAGGGCCCCAAGAGGCCCAAGATGGGGCAAAGCTTCTCGTTGTGTTCTTTTCATGACTTATATAAGTAGGACGAGGGGGAAGGGAGGATGGGGAGGTCCTCGTCCTCCTCCTCATCCTCCTTTTCCTCATACTCTTTCCCTCCTTTTTTTCCTCCTCCTCCTCCTCCTCCTCCTCCTCCTCCTCCTCCTCCCCTCCTCCTCCTCCTCCTCCTCCACGAGGGGGTCTGGAAATACAGCCCCACCGATCCTGGCCCGGCGAGCCCGGGCCCGGGAGGGAGACCGGCGGCTGCGCCTCTGCGCTGGCGAAGCCGGGGGGGGGGGGGAGTGCACGGGTCCCGGGCCCGTGTGGGCAGGGGCCTGGCCAGGCTCGGTGCGGGGCGTGTATGCAGTCGGCCCTGGGCCTCGGGCCTCCTCCTCCCCTCTCCTCCTCTCTCTTCCTCCTCTTCTCTCCTCTCCTCCTCCTCCTCCTCCTCTCACTCTCCTCTCTCCTCTCTCCTCCCTCCCTCCCTCCTCCCTCCTCTCCTCCCTCCCTCCTCCTCACCTCCTCCCTCCTCCTCTCCTCCTCCCTCCTCCCTCCCTCCCTCCTCCTCCATCCTCCTCGTCTTCCTTCTTCTTCTCCTCTTCCTCCTCCTCTTCCACTTCCTCCTCCTCCCGCACCATTTGCGTGGAGGGAGGGCGGCTCCTGGGGAAGGCGAAATAAATACCGACACCGCCTCGGAGCTCGGGCGCTTTCGCGATGTCGTGGGCCGTTTTTTCGTTCCGAGTGCGCGTTGCAACCCGGAGGGAAGGAAGACAGAACGAAGGGCGTCGAACACAGAGCGACAACAAGCACGAAGATCACTGCTTGGCTCGAGCCCTGGTCCTCCCGCACGGGCAGGACGAGCAACTCTCCAAGGTTACCCCTGACCTCTCTTGGGGTGCGTTCTGACCAGAACGTCGAGGCGACTCCAGCCGTGGCGCCCAGGGCCTCCGAGGAAGCCCAGACATGGGGCGGAAGCGAGGGGAGGGGTAGCGGTATCGGTATACTTTTTGTTGTTTCTCTTGTGAAGCACGCCACAGTCAACCCGCAGAGGAAGGATGTGCAGTCTAATCATTCCAAGGCTACCCTGGCATCCTCCCCCTTCGGCCCATCCTTGGCCGCTTTCTCTGGCCGCGCCCGACTCGCAAAGTGTCGACATGGTCCTCGAAGGCCCTTGCACATCCTTATCGTGCGTCCTCGTTCTCCCGGTTGACTGCAGCTGGCGGCCCGCTTCTATCATGGGTCCCCGCTGGCCGTGGCTGCTGCGATGTACCTGGCTGCCGCCAATCGGGTCCTGTGCCCGGCTGGCCTTGCCGATTGCGATTTCTCGCTGTCACCCCATCTAGTCCTGGTTCCTTGTGCGAAGACGTTACTGTTTGGGGTGGGTTCGACAGCAACGCGGACGGTGGGGGGTCGGATGCAAGTTTCTTGGCATGGAGCGGGGCATGGCCAATTCATGGGATCGCCTCCGCACAGAGGTTGGCCGTCGTCATTCTCACTCACCCTTGACGTCTCTGCCGTCCTCATCGCCCTCGCACCTTCATTTGGTCCATCCGAGGGCGCTGCGCTGTCGCACATCGAGCAGGGGCTGAAGGAGTGCCAGGCTGCCCACGACGAGATGACTCGTGTGGACCTCCTGGCAACCAGGGCGCGGCTGGACATCTTGGCTGGCAGGCTGACCGACGGCGAAAGACGCTTCCCTCGTGTGATCAGCGCACGACGGACGAGAGACGCTTTTGCTGTCAGATCTTGTCGATCAGTGTGATCTTTTTCTAGCTGCTCGTTTCGGATGGCTGGGCCATAATTATCTGGGATGCTTCCATTGTTCCCCACATTTTTCCGTGGGGTTCTGGTTTGCTTCATCATACATCCAAGACGTATGCACCACATACACGGCACACACGTCAAACTACAGTCGCACACACATCATATTCATACACAGGACAGCATACAGCGCATCAGGGACACAGACAAAAACGAACATGCAGGCGCACGCACATGCAAAGAGCACGCGCACGCAGCACACCTACGCACACCATACTTGCAGCACGTTTACACAACACACATACACACCACACGCAGGTAGGAGACGGATGATGCACGTACTGCGGGGTGGTTCCTGGGCGGCACTGGCATTTCCTCGTGGGTGGGGGCGCTATGCGCTGAGGGCTTCCTCGACGACGACGACGGGGCTGCGATAGGGGTGGGGGCGCTATGCGCTGCAGGCTCACAAAGCGTGGCACGCGCGGCCGTTCCTCCGCGCCACAGGGGGTACGCGGGGGGTGGGGGCGCTACACGCTGCAGGCTTGCAGGGCGTTGCAGGCGCGGCGTTCCCTCGACTGCGCAGCGGGTGCGCTGGGGCTGGGGCCGCTGCGCGCTGCAGGCTCGCAGGGCGTGGCGAGCGCGGCATTTAGTCGACGCCAAAAGGGGGTGCGCTGGCAGTGGGGGCGCTACGCGCTGCAGGCTCGCAGGACCTGGCACGCGCGGCATTTCCTCGAAGGCATGGGCGGTGCGCTCGGGGTGGGGGCGCTATGCGTTACAGGCCCACATGGCGCGGCTGGCGAAACATGTCCTCGACGCCGCAAGGGGCGCGCTGGGGGTGGGGGCGTTGTGCGCTGCAGGCTCGCAAGGCGTGGCATGCGTGGCACCTCCTTGACACCAGCGCGAAAGGGCGCGCGTCTTGCCCAAAAGTGCAAACATCGCGGGTCAGGCCGGCGCG